AAAATAATCAATCCTGTCAGTCCTATCAATCCTGTGAATGTAGTTATATTAGTGTAGTCATATTATTACTTATTAAAATATTAATTTATATTGTGGACACACATATATATATATCCACAGTTTATCTTGATGCTTCATTGACTTGGGAGCAACACATGAACGCGGTTTGTGGGAAGCTCAGTGGTTGCGTTTTTTTCCTGCGGGTTTGAGTAAGAACGTGTCGTGGCAGTCACTACGGATTGCATATTTTTCCCTCTGCCAATCGTTGATGTCGTATGCAATAGTTGCATGGGGCGGGGCCTCATCGTGCGATCGTGTCTTCAGACTACAGCGACGTGCAGTTCGCGTCCTCAATAATGTAAAGTATCGTGATGACTGCAGGAATTCTTTTGTTTCATTGAAAATTCTAACATTTCCTTCATTGTATATATACCACAGCATACTCTACATTAAGGTACAGAGTCAGCATTTTGTCACACATGGTGAGGTCCATAACCATCACACTAGAAACAATGGGCGTCTCATACCTAAATATTCCAGATTGTCAAGGGGTCACCAAAGTGTAAATATTGTTGCTGTCAAGTTTTTTAATAAACTGTCTTATGAACTGTCTTCATAAATTCCTGGTTGAGCAGGCCTACTACTCATGTACTGACTTTTTAAACGACACAATTACGTCCGAAAATGTCAATATATGTGTATCGGAACCGTAATTATTTTTGACTCCTATTGATCACGTGCGTAATTTGCTGTGTTTTGTTGCGTTTATTTTTGTAATTACGACTATTGTTGCTATAATTAATGTATTGCGTTTGCTATGTTATAATTATTACTATACTTGTCTGTACGGTTATTGTAGATTAGTACTGATTGACGAGTGTAACACTTGAATGTTTTTGCACAATAAAGATATTATTATTATTATTAAATAAATTCTCTCTTTCACGGTTAACATCGCATGAAAAGGCTTAGGGCCGGTTTTATAAAACTGGACGTTTACCGGCGGTTATCAAATCACCGGTTGAGAAGTTAACCGAAGGTTGAATGTCGACACGTTTTATGACAGGATTTTAACCCCCGGTGTATTAGCTTGCCGTCAACCGACCGCGGTCAATGTTGGCTGCACTGCACGCTGACTCTCAACCAATGAAATGCGTGCATTCGAAAACGTAAAGATACACGTGTTTACGTTACCTAACCTAACTTTCGACGTAGATCATTTTGCGAGCGATTATTTTATTATTTTTTTTATTTTATTATTTTATTTTATTTATTTTATTTTATTTATTTTATTTTATTTATTTTTTTTTTTGCGATGTTTTATATTAAATAATTCTCTTTATATAATTAAAAACAAATTGGATTTTGTAAAAAATTTATTTTTTATTAAGTTGTTTTTTAAATAATTCTATTCTTAAACGCCCGGTTGATGACAACTTTCATGACAGATCATGACAACTTTGTGAAGTTCTGCGCATGTGCGTATATCAACCTTCCGTCAAACTCGACTTTTACCTGCGGTTGGGATAACTTCCCTTTAACCGGAACTTTATTACTCAACCGTAGGTCGTACAACGCAAACTAACGGTTAACCGGAGGTTGACAGTGAACCTACTGTCAACCGTACATTGTAAAACCGGCCCTTAATAANTTATAAAAGTAGACGTTGACCGCCGGTTATCAAACCTCCGGTTGAGCAGTTAACCGAAGGTTGAACATCGATACGTTTTATGACAGGATTTTAACCTCCGGTTTATTAGCTTGCCGTCAACCGGCCGCGGTCAATGTTGGCTGCACTGCGCGCCAACTCTCAACCAATGAAATGCGTGCATTCGAAAACGTAAAGATACACGTGTTTACGTTAACCTAACCTAACTTTCGACGTAGATCATTTTGCGAGCGATTATTTTATTATTTTTTTTATTTTATTTTTTATTTTATTAATTTATTTTTTTTTTTGCGATATAAAATAATTCTCTTTATATAATTAAAAACAAATTGGATTTTGTACAAATTTTATTTTTTATTAAGATCTTTTTTTAACAATTCTATTCTTAAACGCCCGGTTGATGACAACTTTCATGACAGATCATGACAACTTTGTGAAGTTCTGCGCATGTGCGTATATCAATCCTCGGTCAACCTCGACTTTTACCTGCGGTTGGGATAACTTCCCTTTAACCGGAACTTTATTACTCAACCGTAGGTCGTACAACGCAAACTAACGGTTAACCGGAGGTTGACAGTGAACCTACTGTCAACCGTACATTGTAAAACCGGCCCTTAATCTCACCAACATAAGTTGTAACTTTTATGGTTTCTATGGTTACATATCATAAATTGAACTTGATAAATTTTCAATTTAGAAAAAAATGTACATAAAAATTGGAATAATTAGTTAACTTTTATAGTTGGAGTATAAAATTCATACGATTTAGTAGTTTGAACATATCCGACGCATTATTTATGCTGAGATAAGTTTGGAAAATCAGTAACAAAAATTCTTTTCCTCTTTGTAACTCGATCCAGGGACATACTGTATATGTATATTTTAGGGTGATATAAAATAAACAATTCGTATCTCAAGAACTGATTGAGATATCAAAATGAAATAATATGCATTTTAAAGTAAATTTAATCTATTTTTATTATTTCAAATGTAAACATTTAATTTTCGTTAATTTCGATGTAGTAATTTTTTTGGTTGAACCCTGTTAGTTAATGGTTATAGGTATATTAAGTAATTTTTTATTTCGAATTATTAAAGTGTACCCCATAAAAATCGATTTAAAAACTATTTAATCGTTCTTAATTTTTAATTCGCCATCATCAGATAACATTCATTTTGCCAAGATTTGGGTTAAAACCTTAGCTTTTTTAAAAATGGAACTTTTTTTTCATCAAATCCTCCACTTCAACCAGTTAATAAAAACAGGATTATATTAAGTATTATTTTAACTTTAATCTGGATTATTTATCCCATCATATAAAAATTTATGGGTAAGTCTTCAATAAAAAAATCTAGACTTAAATGATAACAATAATATTTCTTTAAGATACTCAAACAGATGTTTATACATATTTGATCGACATCTTCGGCTTTGTAATGTACACAAATTTTGTGCTGATAGCTTATTATTAATTATTATTAATTAGTAACAAAAGGAGCGAAATGATAAACGTAATGAATAACTTAAGCGATTTTAATAGTTTTGGAGTTCCAACCCAGCTTCGTTTTATCGATAATTTCGTTAAATACGGTTTCATATATGTTTATTATCTCACACCGTACTCATTTACAATTTTATGCAACGCAATGTTGTTAAGAATAAAAAATGTTTTAATAACACTCGAAACACCTGTTATTTATATTTGGGATATTATATGCCGCATAAACTCCAACAGTGGTTTGAAGGCTTTTTGGTTGTACGCGAAATGTTTTTCTTCGTTACAGTTTTGACTTTGATTATAGGGGCGATACCTTTGTTTGTGTACGCGTTTGAATTGATTATAATTCGTTTAAAACATATTACTTTGTTAGAGAAAGAGAGTCAAGAAATTTTTAGTTAATTTAGTTTATAAAGTTTATGGAAAACTAATTGTGCTACAACGAATTTGTAGTATTGGGTTCATTATTTTAGTTGCTGCAGCGTTTGCTTTGGTTAGTATTTAATTGTGTTACTTAAATTGTTTATTTATCATTTGTATCATATTTTTAAGCGATTCGATATATTGGTTTTTTGTATTATGATCTCATGCTTATTATCTTTGATGATACTTAATTCAATTGGACAACGTATTATTGATGCGGTAATTAAATAAATATACTACGAGATAAGAAATTAATCTTTTTAATTTTAGAACTTTTTTTGAATTGGTATGATGCGGATGTTAAACTTAAAAAGTTATGACGCCAAATGCGTTAAGAGATTTTAAATCAAAAAAAAAAATTAACGAAATTTTCAACAAGGACAAAACTAGTTTTATCACCCTGAGATGTACGCGAGTCCTCGACCGGCTCAGTGAAGAAGGGAGGGGTATTTATATGGCGCCACACAGTTAACCCCGCGTACAACACGAACTGTGACGTGAGATGATGGAGTATGGTGATATAAACAAATAACACAACAAAACATAAACGCTCAACAAAATAGGTTTTGAGTTGCAGACAAAATTTATTAAAACTCCCGTAAATAACAGGTAAGTAAAAAAAACAAACTAATAACAAAATTATAAAACCGTATACTTTTAGGTTCAAAACAACAAAAAAAAAAAAAAAAATATTGATGTTTGCGAGCTTTTAAAAAAAATGAAAATCAAAACTGAAAGGAAATTTAAATCAAAATACCAAAAAAATGAAAAGTTAACCCACGTCTGACTCCGTATGGTTGAGCTCAACGTGAAATCAAAAATTATAAAAAAAATCTACGCCAGAACAGAATTAAAAAAAAAATCTCGCCAAACAAGAATTTACAAAAAAAATTGAAATGATATTAAAAAAAAAATTGAAAACTTTGATGTTCCAATGATTAATTAATTTAAAGATTTTCTTAAGGAAAATCAAAATAATAAAAAAAAATATAAGATACAAATTCTTCAATGACCAAAATAATAATATTATGTTGTTTTATCTGACCTTTACTCCAAGTCTTGATCACCGGTCCGATTCGAAATAAATCCTCAGCAACAAATTCTGGTGACTCAGGAAAGGTAAGGTAATATTCTTTGTTTTGTTCCAAAAAGTAATTAGAATCCTTAGGATGTAATGGAAATTATACCCTTGGACAATGGTTCCAAAATACCAATAAAAAAAGTTGTCCCAATAAGAGATGCCAAAAGTTGCTCCCCTCAACAAAAACCTGGATATAGAAATTAAAAAAAAATGAAACGTGGAAATATTAGATTTAAGAATTTTTGTTTGTAGGATAGTTTTTCTTTTTAAGTAGTTAGTAATTTTTTTTTTTTTAAGTAGTTAGAAAATTTCTTTTTAAAGTAGTTAGAAAAAAAATTTTTTTTTTTAAAGTAGTTAGATTTTTTTTTTTTGAATGATAGATTTAGTAGATTGTTAGTTTAAGAATCAATAGAAAAATGTGAAAGGGTGAACGAATATGCCAAAAACTAATTAATAAAGACCTTACAAAAATGCTTACCTCTGGTGTTCGAGGTTTAACCAGAGGATCATTGTTTTATAGAATATAATGTTTTTAATTCAATTTTCATATTTTAAATTTAAATGCTATTTTATTTTTCATTTGTAAAAAAGAAACTGGTTTAAAAGTCACGTTACTCGTTTTATCCCAATTCAATTCAGTTCTTTACATAATTCAGACAGAGTATTTCTTCAACAATTCATAAATGTGTTTGTTAATCGATTCTTATCAAATTGTTAGTTCAGTTAAAGTTCATGTATTAAACAGTTAAATAAACTAATGTAAGTGATACACGGGGTGTTTTTCTTTCGAAATCTTACTTGTGTGCGTGTAAGTACTTTTTTTCAAAACATTCTTTTCTTTATATAATTCAGAAATTTGAGTATACCCGGCAATTGGTATAATTATTAACATTTATTGGTCCTTCGAGCCGGATTAGCCTCAATTTCGGTGTATTTTGACTAGATTTTCGTAACCGTTTGTTCTTTCCGGCATCAGCCTTTTTTTTTTGAACTGGATTTTATCTCAACATTCAATATGTCGAAAAGTGAGAAACCGAGTTTCGAAACAACGGTGGAGCGACAAAACGATTTATATGGTTTGATTTCACGTACTATGGAAAATCTAAAAAAGCTCGCGGTCGCGAAACGTACGCGCGGAGCAGTAAAATCGCGGTTGGAGCGACTCGAAGTAATTTGGGAAGAGTTTAATAAAAACCATAAAATGTTATCTCAATATAAGGCAAGTTATAGCGATTAGAATTATTTTTCGGGAAACGTATTTTCTTTATGCGAGGAAGCGTATCTTGAAGCTAAAAATGAGATGATCGATTTGTTGGAAGCTTTAGCTCAACCTCCCATTTCTTCCAACGACACAATCGTTCGCGACGTAACGCCAAGGCGTACGCGACATCTTCCGGTCATTAATCTTCCAAAATTTGATGGTGATTACGTTAATTGGACACAATTTCGCGATTTATTTAAATCAATGGTTCTCGATAATAATGACCTCTCCGATGATGAAAAATTGCAGCATCTGAAAATGTGTGTAACAAACGAGCCAGCACAATTAATAAAAAATTTATTAATTACAAACGAAAATTTGAAAAAAGCTTGGTCAATCATGATTGAAAGGTATGAAAATCGTCGGTTACTTATTGATTCAAAACTATCGGTCTTGCTTTCTTCCAAACCTCTTAAAAATGAGTCAGCGACCGAGTTAAAGCGATTTTAGGAGAAATGAAAGAGGCGTTAGGAGCCTTGGAATCGCTGGGTTGTTCCGTTGAGCATTGGGACTCTCTCTTAATCTACTTACTCGTGAGAAAACTTGATACGGAATCAGTTAAAGAACGGAAAAAANATAGGTCGTCGCAATGTTGCTGAAAGAGAAAACAATAAAATGTTATAAACAAACAAAATGTAAACAAAATAAATAAAAATAATAATAAGTTTCCGAATGTATGCAACTCATAACCCATTACACATAAACAAGTCACCCACACATAACATAAAAATTTCGGAATGTAACAAAGTCAACACACTTTTATCATCAAATTCGGGATGTTGGGTGTTGGTTTTATCCTTCAATGACTGGGGTAAAATAATATAAAAAATATAAATCTTTTGCAATTTTTTAGTGTAGATTGTAAATTTTTTCCGCCATTTTTAAACGAGTTATGACGTCATCGATATTTTTTTTCAAATGGCAATCCTCCATTTTTATTAAGGAATATTAAAGAGAATGTTTTTCTGAATCTAGTACAGTCAATATTGATATTGGTTACATAAGAAAATTTTTGAGAAAAATTACTTTAAAAGTTAACTTTTTCAAATTTGCTTGACATTATAAAAATAGCAGTAACTATGGTAACCAATTATTTTAAACAATGTCCTAAGTGTCAAAACCTGATTTAGTAAAGCTTGTTGAAGTGTGGTGGCGCGCCATCTTTGTTGGAATAACTACTATTGGAATTCAGGTGGGACAATATTATGATATCGTTTTGAAAAAATCTAAACTTCTCTCTCCAGTTAAGGTTTCCTCAAAAAGTAAAAACTCAGGATAGTATGCCATACGATTTCGCTAAACACATTGATCTTGTGCGACTTTTTTGCCCAATGCGGATTTTGGGTAGCCCAATACCGACAATTTTGTCTATTTACTTGACCACTCAATGTGAATGTTCCCTCGTCGGAAAAAATATGTTTTTGACAAGCTCTTCGTCATCAGCTCGAGCATCATTGCTCGCGACAGAGGTTTACTTTATAGGAATAAAATTTTGCGGTTTTTAAAATTTTATGAACCGTTGATTTACTAATGTCCAAATACGACCCAATACCCCTGACAGTGACGTAAGAGTTTTCTTGCCCAGCTAAAACCACCTTTTGTTGAACCTCCCCTGAAACATTTGGTCGGGCAGACTTCGAGAAATCTCGAAGATGTCCATGCTTTTTAAATTTAGTCATAGCTAGGTTTACCATACTAATGAGCTAAGCAGTTTTCGATCAAGAAATGTTGCATTAAGGAGGTCAACTACTTACTAAATCATTTTTTGACACTTAGAAAATTATTTAAAATAATTGGTTACCATAATTACTCATGGCTAATGGTATTTTTATCATTTCACTAAACTTGAAGTAGTTACACTTTAAGTAATTTTTTTCGAAAATTTTCTTATGTAACCAATATTAATATTGACTGTACTAGATTCAGAAAAACATTCTCTTTCATATTCCATTATAAAAATGGGGTATTGCCATTTGAAAAAATATCGATGACGTCATAACTCGTTTAAAAATGACGGAAAAATTTTAAAATTTACACCAACAAATTGCAAAAAATTTAAATCTTTAGACCCGTTTCAGGGATTTTTCCATAAACCGTTTATAATGATTTTATCGCCTATATCCGTTACTTTACGGACATACTGTATATAGAATATAATGTTTTTAATTCAATTTTCATATTTTAAATTTAAATGCTATTTTAGTTTTCATTGTAAAAAAGAAACGGGTTTAAAAGTCACGTTCCTCATTTTATTCCGATTCCATTCAGTTCTTTTACATAATTCAGAGAGTATTTCTTCAACAATTCATAAAGGTGTTAATCGATTCTTATCAAATTGTTAGTTCAGTTAAAGTTCATGTATTAAACAGTTAAATAAACTAATTTAAGTGATACACGGGGTGTTTTTCTTTCGAAATCTTACTTGTGTGCGTGTAAGTACTTTTTTTCAAAACATTATTTTCGTTATATAATTCAGAAATTTTCTTATACCCGACAATTGGTATAATTATTAATTGGTCCTTCGAGCCGGATTAGCCTCAATTTCGGTGTATTTTGACTAGATTTTCGTAACCGTTTGTTCTTTCCGGCATCAGCTTTTTTTAACTGAACTTTATCTCAACATTCAATATGTCGAAAAGTGAGAAACCGAGTTTCGAAACAACGGTGGAGCGACAAAACGATTTATATGGTTTGATTTCACGTACTATGGAAAATCTAAAAAAGCTCGCGGTCGCGAAACGTACGCGCGGAGCAGTAAAATCGCGGTTGGAGCGACTCGAAGTAATTTGGGAAGAGTTTAATAAAAACCATAAAATGTTATCTCAATATAAGGCAAGTTATAGCGATTAGAATTATTTTTCGGGAAACGTATTTTCTTTATGCGAGGAAGCGTATCTTGAAGCTAAAAATGAGATGATCGATTTGTTGGAAGCTTTAGCTCAACCTCCCATTTCTTCCAACGACACAATCGTTCGCGACGTAACGCCAAGGCGTACGCGACATCTTCCGGTCATTAATCTTCCAAAATTTGATGGTGATTACGTTAATTGGACACAATTTCGCGATTTATTTAAATCAATGGTTCTCGATAATAATGACCTCTCCGATGATGAAAAATTGCAGCATCTGAAAATGTGTGTAACAAACGAGCCAGCACAATTAATAAAAAATTTATTAATTACAAACGAAAATTTGAAAAAAGCTTGGTCAATCATGATTGAAAGGTATGAAAATCGTCGGTTACTTATTGATTCAAAACTATCGGTCTTGCTTTCTTCCAAACCTCTTAAAAATGAGTCAGCGACCGAGTTAAAGCGATTTTAGGAGAAATGAAAGAGGCGTTAGGAGCCTTGGAATCGCTGGGTTGTTCCGTTGAGCATTGGGACTCTCTCTTAATCTACTTACTCGTGAGAAAACTTGATACGGAATCAGTTAAAGAACGGAAAAAATCAATTGGAAGTAATTCAGATCCGGCAAGAAGTATCTTCGACCGATAACCCTGGGAGGCAAATTTAAAACGATCTATTCGGGGTGAACGGTCAAATAAAGTACAGGAACAACTTTTTACAATTTGCTAATATATTTCGGTTGTCGAATTACAACCTTCATCAGAGCGAATTTACATTTGCTGTTAAAGAGAAAAAATTTCTTAAAATGATAGAAATTTTATAAAATAGGTTTAAAAACGTACTTGTTTATGAAATTCTTGTTTATTTAATTCTTGTTTATGAACAAGAATCCAAATGCATTGGTTGATTTACGGCCTATTAGTATTTTAAATGTTACCTCGAAGGTTTTAGAGAGGATTGTGGCGGCCAGAATTTGGGGTAATCTTATTGAATTTAATATATTACCAGCCAATCAGTCTGCAT